ACTGTGTGGCATCCCCTCTTCTTTTTATAACAGTCTGCAAACATCTGGGGACTGAGGAGACAAGTTGCTCAAGTTTAAGAATAGGAATGTTGTCCCATTCTTGTCTAATACAGGCTTCTAGTTGCTCAAATGTCTTAGGTCTTCTTTGTCATTTCAAAATGTCTCACTTTCAACATTTGATATGTTATCTATATTCTATTGTGAATAAAATATAAGTTTATGAGATTTGTAAATTATTCCATTCCTTTTTTACTCACAATTTGTACAGTGTCCCAACTTTTTTGGAATTGGGTTTGTACAAAATCCCCCAATAAGTACTTGTAATTTTAATGCGTGAGGCTTGTCATTGGCTTCCAGTTATTTTACCTGTGCAAAAATAGCCTGTTATCCTGCTTGATACTTATATTGTTTTTATTGCTATATTTGTTACTATATAATTTCAATTCATTAACAGTCATAAACTGGCACACTGGCTTGTTGCGCAAATCGTTTTACCATTTACTACACTTTGTTATAGCTACTTCATTATTTACCTAATAAATCAGAAGTCTTGCACATTCAAAGAAAATATATTTTTGAATGAGTCGCATGTAATTCAGAACTGGTGTGGTGCTACTCTCTCGTGGCCATATGGAGGAAGTGCAGCAGAAACGCACATGAACAAATCATTTATTACATCGTTTTTAAGTACAGACAACGTGTTCCATCTACATTTAAAGTCCTTAGCAGATGCTTTAGTCAATTCGACTGATAAGACCGAGCAAGTGTCAATTTTCTGAGCAGGTAAAGCTGACATATAAGTACAGTAGGCCTAAAATGAATCCTTTTGGCTTAATATTTGGGTTATGATTGATCAGTCTATTATTACACTTTTAGATAACATTTATCAGTCATCGATTTACCCTTTATTATCCAAAGTTTATGATGAAATAAAAAATATGCTCAGACTACTTTGTGATTCTGAAATATTAGCATGTTACTTGCATTGTTGGCGCATTTCCAATTAAACAGAATATTCTATAAATACACAAAACGATTGCAAATGTGCATATGCAGTTGTATGTGCCTGGATATCTCAATCATCTTGCACGACCAGCACGTTTCCTTTAATCTCATATTCGATGGTGCTCCAGTCGAACACGTTTCCTCTCGGCACGCGCTGCGCGTGGTTCAAATACAGCGCTTTGATCTGGGTTCCGCTGAGGGCGTGGTCCCACATGTTCAGGTCCGTGAGCTCGCCGGCGAAGCTTTGCACCGCTTCAAAGTCGCCCAGGTGTTTGTCGGGGTCCTGTCCGAGAAGAGCGGTGCCCTGCGGATGGATGCTGTGACCCGGTTTATACAGCTGAAGCGCGCTGCGGCGTCCGTCCACCCAGAAGGCCGTGAGTCCGGTGCGCGAGGCCCAGGTGAGGCACAGGTGAGTCCGGAAGGTGGAGAGAGGCGGCAGGTGGAAAAACGCTCCGTCGCCACTGAGGTAGAAGGACACGCGGCCGTCTCTCTCTCTCCACACGTTGAGCTCGTCGAAGTCGGGCGTCCGGTAGGCGAACAGAATGATCTGACGCTCGCCCTGGAGCTCCGTCGCGACGCGCATGCAGAGCGTGAACGCTGTAAGGCCCAGTGGCTTCTTAGGTGTGAGCTGAACGTAGCTGAAATCAGTCTCGTACGGGAACAGAAGCACTTTACCACCGAGACCCACTGCAGGACCAAACAAAATACTGTAACAAACACAAAACCAGCTCAAACTCCTGCTGCGTGAATCTAACATACAGTACCTTCAGTAGCTGCTGGGTTCAGAGAGAGCAGACCGAAGAATAAAACCACTGGCACCAACATCATGCTGCAGGTCTGAAAGAAAAAAATAATAATAATACAACAATTAAGAAGATTAAAATGGTTGTCTTAGTCTGACATATTAATGCATTTTTAATGCATCACTTTCTAAAAATGGCAAGCTTCTGTTGGTGAATCACAGTTGTCAAGACAACCACAATTCATCCAGAAAAGAAGATAAATAAATACATACATAAACATATTAGGACCATTAGGGTTTTTGCATTGCAACATTTTCATGACAAACATATTATCCACAAAAATTACTTTAAAGTGAATAGTGTTTTAGTAGGCTATGATGATACATTTGTTAGTTTTATTATGCATGATTTATACTGGTTTGAAATGGGGAAAAGTTTTTGAGGGATTTGATCTATTTTTTGCATCAGAGTAAATGTAAAAATTGTCCTAATAATTATAAATAAATAATGATAATATTAATGTAATGCATTTTTATATAGAATTTTCTGGTGAAAATAGTGTTTCTTCATGAGCTTCATCCCAGTCAGGATATGTGTGCCACAACATTATTGTAGTTAGCTAAAACTAAAACCATAAAAATTGGAATAAACTGAAATAAAATCATCTTAAGTTTTATACATATATATATATTTTTTTCAGCTAGTTGCCAAGACAACAATTATTAACATATTGAAATGGTACTAAATAACTAAAACTGAAATAAAAACAAAATGACCAAAATATTAACTAAAAATGAAAACTGTAACTAAAAATAACTAATTCAACATATTAAGTAAAACAATACTAGCATCTCAATGATACTAAAATAACACTAGTGTGCAATATAATAACGGAGATGCATTATTATTAATATTACATAATAACATTTAGTATCACAAAGTATTACATTTCAAATGATTGTTTCAGTTTTTCAGTGATTATATAAATGAAATGGTGACAAATGTAATACTTACTGCGTAGCAGAAGGGTGTTTATTTCTGCCTCTGAGGAAAGAAACGCTGCTGAGCCGCTTCCCTCCTTGCACCATGATGACATCAGCTAAACCAACAAAAGATGCTGTGTGAGGATTCACAGGATCATGAGGCCAAAAACACAAAGGCCTGGTTTCATAGACAGGGCTTAGACTAAGCCAGGATTAGGCCATAGTTCAATTAGGACATTTAAGTCATTTTTATAAACGTGCCTTAGAAAAAAACATTACGGGTGTGCATCTTGAGACAAAACAAAGGCACTGATATTATTTAAGATCAGTCAGTGCAAGTTTCTTTCATTTGAAACAGCTCAGACTTACATTTTAGTCTAGGACTAGGCTTAAGCCTGGTCTGTGAAACTGGGGGAAAGACGTTTTCAAATGTCTCTTCCTCTGGATTTCTCGCTCTGTCAAATACAAATAGACAGAGTTGAATTTATAAAATGGCACTATAAAGACATAACCTTTTTTTTTTACATAACATTTAGCCTTTTGTACAATACAGAAATACTCTTTTTAATGTTATTTGAGTTGAGATCACAGAAGCTGTCAATGTGTGTCATATGATTTCATGAAATCGTGGTTGAATAACAGTATAATAATACTTTTAGAATGTTTGAGTAAAGGTTCTGGGAATTTAAAGTTTTCCATATCATCTTGTTTTGCATAAATGTGTGGCTTAAAAGTCTGATATAGATGTTTGAACATATTGCTGGAACTTTATATAAATGCAGACATAACACTTAATCTGTATTTAAAGGGGGTCATGTGATGCCATTTCAAGTTTTCCTTTCTCTTTGGAGTGTTACAAGTAGTTCTTGAATAGATAAGATCCCTAAAGTTGCAAAGACTAAAGTCTCAAACCCAAAGAGATATTCCAATGCGTAAAAACACAGTAGAAGTCATTATAATCAATAATTATGTCCCCACTGGATGCAACAAATGCCTCGTTTGTAATGGCTTTTAATGTTTTTGTCTCGTCGCTCCGGGACATGCATCACAGTATGGTAAGGGGCGTAACATTTCCGTCACACGCTTGAGGTATTCGGCCAATCACAACGCACTGGATAGCTGGCCAATCACAGCACACCTCGCTTTTCAGACCGATGAGCTTTGTAAAAATTGACGCGTTTCAGAAAGGCGGGGCATAGAGGAGAAACAATAATGTACAATATGTGGAAAATAATGTGTTTTTTTAACCTTTAACTGCATAAACACATTTCATTACACCAAATACACAAAATAATGTTCTTTTTTAGGAACATCATATGACCCCTTTAAACAATGAGAATATATTTGTTGGTACTCATAACTGAACTGCCCGCGTGTGACCACCAGACAGCAGCAGCATATCAGACAAATTTCCCTTGTAAATCATCTAAAAATGATCTTAACAACAGCGACATCAGTAGAAGTGATAGGTTTTCTGAGGTCGGAGAATTGAGGAAAGAAAGCACAACAGCCACAGTATTAAAACTACTGACAGGTGAAGTGAATAACATTATATTGTTAAAATAGCACATGTCAAGGCAGCAGGTAAACAGTTAGTTCTTGAATTTCATTTGCTGGAAAGTAGATCTGGGTGACAAGGGCCAAATAGTAATGACAAGGTGAGTGGGTTTACAAAAAGCTCAATTTGGCCTCCAAATTCCCCAGATCCCAATCCAATTAAGCATTTATGGGATGTGCTGGACCGACAAATCTGATTCATAGAGGCCCCACCTTGCTTCTTGCAAAACTTCTGCTGCTATTGTCTTGGTGCCAGATACCACAGGACACGTAAAGAGGTCTCATGGAGCTCTTTTTGCAGAAAGAGGTGGTCCTACATGATATTAGGCAGGTGGTTTTCATGTCGTGGCTGATGAGTGTATCTATATAGTGTATCTTTTCAAATGAACGATATGTGCCTTTATTGCTTTAAGGTCTGTGCTGCTGTTCCGAACTAGCTGTAGTGGCTTGACATTAATGCAGCCTTCACGTGCTATCAGAATTATCGTAAATATGAGTTTCCTAGTCAGAAATTGGAAATTAATGGCCTCTCTAGTCGTATTTACAAATGGGAAACTATAAGATACCTGTGGTTCCGAGTTGATTATTTTATTTTAAGATAATTATTTTATTCTTTTATTTTAAGATAATTTTGATACTCGTGGTTCCAAGTTGGGCGAGCCATACACTTTAAATATGCGGAGGAGAGAAACGTAGCAGTAGTACTGTGAATTTTTATTAGTTTTTCTCACAACATCTACATTGCTTCTCCTGCCATTACAGTCATGTATATTTATGTATATAAATATCCATTTGATGCATAATGTATTGAACACAGTAAAAAATATCATTTATTTGACCAAAATTTAGGAATTGTCATCCAGATAGCGCTGTGAATGTTTATATGGTTACCAATAAATGGGACGCTACATTTTATTCAAAACCTGTTGGATATTGACTAAATATCTTGTCATCTATACCTTTTAGCTTTAATAAGATTGCCCCAAGAAACAGGCAAGAATGAATAGGCTGTTCACCATGATTTCTGTTCTTTCCGACAGCACTTGAACATGACAAACTCATAATTACAATTTCAGAAGTGGGAAGTAGGAAGTTTCCGTGAAGGCAGCATTAATTAGACAAAATATTTATCAAATTATCAGAATTATTGACCACATCCTCCAGAAGTCACATGCATGTATGCTTCAGTAAAAATATTTAACATTTAATATTTTTCCCAATTATGCACATGCATTGCACTTGTAATCTTCAGAATTTTTTTTTTATTGGTTCGCTTTTACAGCTTTGTACACTGCGTATGTGACATTACAACTGATTACAATCAGTTATCTTGAGTCACTTGCACATTGCCAATTATCTCATATTTGATGGTGTTCCAGTCAAACACGTTTCCCTTGACATATGTTTCCTGGTTTGAATAAACCGCCTTAATCTGACTGCTGGAGAGAACATAATCCCACATGTGCACATCTGTAATTTCTCCTACAAAGCTTTGACCTGCGTCAAAGCCACCCACAAATGCATCAGCGTCTTGGCCGAGCAGGACAATGCCACCAGGACGAATTGAGTGACCTTTTCTATACACCTGGAACAAACTGCGACGTCCATCTACCCAGAAAGCAGTAAGACCAGTTGCAGCATCCCAGGAGACGCACAGGTGTGTCTGGAAGGTGGAGAGAGGAGGCAGACGGAAAAATGCTGCATGGTCACTAGATCTAATATACAAGGACAAACGGCCGTCAGACTCTCTCCACAAGTTCAGCTCATCGTCATTAACCGTGCGGTAGGCGAACAGAATGATCTCCCTCTTGCCCTGGAGCTCCGTCGCAACCCGCATGCAGAGAGTAAATGCTGTAAGACGCAGTGGCTTTTCAGGAATGAGTTTAACATAGCTGGTATCAGTCTCAGTTGGAAACAAAAGCACTTTACCACCGAGACCCACTGCAAAAAAAAAAGAAAAGAAAGGGGGATGAGGAAAAATCCCACTCCCAATAATCAGTGATCTATTAATGAAAATGTGGTACCTTCAGTAGCCGCTGGTGTCAGAGAGAGCAGACAGAAAAATAAAACCACTGGCACCGACATCTTGCTGCAGGTCAGAATGAAAAAGAGCTAGAAGAGTCATAAAATGATTTACCATTTAACAGTTGTTTAAATAAGTTTGTCAGCAGATAGGACTGGATTTATGCAATAAAGAAGCTTCATATTCTAGCTCTGGTAAATATGCAGAAAAAAACATTACTCCTAGTTTAGTAGATCAGTTCTTTGCTGTGTCATTGTTACATTAAATCACATTTAATTAAGCATGAAAGCACTACATCACTTTAAAAGATGTATTACACAAGTATTCAGTGTTCTTTCATCTGAAAGAAGATCAGTTGACCTAAGCTATTTGCCTCCTAGATGGTCATAATCAGGAGGTTCTCCATTATTGAAATGCATTAGTGATTAAGCTCAGATTCAGGAATGTCTTTTTAACATGCAGTGACATGCTGAACTTCATAAACGTTATGGAGCATGTATAGAATTCAGATCACATGTATCAAGAGGTATAGACCTTATTCAGGTTATTGAACTGAAGGTCAATTGTGTACTGTTCACGTATCTACTCGGGTGCTCAAGTTCAAGGTGGCAGTCCAACCAGTGAATCTAATCTATATGCAGGCAAAAGTTCACTTAACTTACATCAATGCGTTTAAAGTTCATTTAATGAAAATGGGGTGCATAGCAGAACAGAAATATTAGAAAGGGCACCATATAGCCCATTTGTATTATGCTATTTTCTTTACATGAGGTGCATACTTTTTTTTCAAGCTGTCAACAAAAAAGCAAACTTATTACTGAAAAATGTCAACATGTACCTAGCAGCCTAGGTGTTAAGAAAGTATGTACATTAGCATGTACATTAAGCATAGACTGTATAAAAACATGGATGTAGTGTCCGTGACATCACCCGTAGTTTTCTGAAGAGCGTTTTTGAAGCTCAAAGTGGGCGGAGCCGGCCGTCGCTATCTTGGTAGCTCGTCACCGCTCGTCACTCCCGGGTAATCGAAAATGGGCAAAGAGGCGGGAGATGGTTGTGGAAACCACGCCCACCTAGCTCGACGGTGGTGACAGCAGCGGCAATCCACCTGTCACTCAAGTGGCCACGCCCTTAATTATGCAGAACTTTAAGGCTTAATATAATTTAAACGGATGAGTTGTAAAAAAAAATTCACCCCCCTCACAGTTGTCATGAAATTATATATATATATAATGCTATATAGCAAAATTAGCTATATAGACCAAAATAATTTTTTGAACCAGGCTGTAAACATGTTTTTTTTTGCTGTAAAGTTGGGCATTTTAACATGGGGAGTCTGTGGGATTGACTCCCTTTTGCAGCCAGCCTCTAGCGGCCAGTTGATGAATTACAGTTTAAGTCACTTCCTTGTTGGCTTCACGAGAGAGAGCGGGAGGTTGCCGCTTGACATTAAGGCCCAATCCCAATTCTACCCCTACCCCTCCAACCAAAAAAATAATCGTGACACCCCTACCCCTTCATGTGAACACGCAAAACAGAGGGGTAGGGGTGTCTCGATTTCTTTTTTTGGTTGGAGGGGGAGGGGTAGGGCCAGATAGCCCTTCAAACGAAGATTTTTCGGGACCACACTTCAAACGAAGGGGTATGAATTATCTCAGCGTAAACCGGCTTCAGCGGCAACATGGCTGCCCGAGCGAACAAAAAGACACATAAATGTAAGCATTTTTGGCATTTAATAAAGATTTTAACGATTTTGTTTTATGTTACATTCAATCGTGAGTTCATAATATAGAACGGTAATTAAAGGCTCTAATGCACACCAGTATATGTGTGTGTATTGTAAGAGCTACACGACATACGATGACGTGTGACGTATAGTAGTGGTGTCCCAATTCTTAGGGGAATATTTTCACCCCTACCCCCTGACACCTTGTTTTTTAAGGGACAAGAGGAAGGGGTATAAAATAGAATTGGGATTGGGCCTAAGTGGTGCAACAGTATTTTGAACAGGCTCAGGAGCTGTAGTTGGGCACAGTGGTGTGCGTTCACTCAACAACAGCTCTAGTGGCTAAGTACAGTATCCTAACTGCATTTGTGTAGGTAATTTCACAACTGCATTAGATTCCAGTTACTTGACCTGCAGGCCGTATGATCGTTCAGACAAACATATACAGATCGATTTTGAAATGCGTTCTGCTAGAGTTCAGATCTATCTGTTAACAGAGCAGGATAATTTTTAGCCATTTAAACCTTTTTTTGCTCTGTTCCTCAAATAAAGAGAAATGGATTTAAATGAGTAAGCGGGATTTAAAACAATAAACATATAACATGCACTTTTGCTCAATATTTAATTACAGCTTCAGATGCATGATATTATCATTTGCTACAAGCAGGACAGACAAGAAGCACTTTCAATGGGTACACACAGACGGTTGTCGTGGTAATAAACAGCAACCGTTCACGTGTCCGTGCTTAATGCGCAGTTCATATATGAAAAGCATTTTAGGGGGCCCAAGGTGGTCGCCGACCTTTGCCAAATGGGTAAGTCCGTCCCAGAAAATATTATATATCTAGCATCTAACCTCACCGGCCCACCCAACCTACTTCTCAACAAAACATGTAACTATATATATGCTCACGTTTTGACGCCTTGGGAGTGAGAATAGGTTGAGATGACATTATGGTGTTCCAATTAAACACAATTTCCTTTGGTACATATGGTGAGAAACAAAATGTTTGTTTGTTTAAATATGTTTGTTAGAAAGTATAAAATAATGGAATAAAGAAATTTCATCCTCTAGCTGGTAACTATTGAAAAATACAAAAACATTTCTCCTAGTGTAGTAGATGAGTTCTTCACCACAAATCACATGTAATTACTAAGTATGAAAGTAATACATCAATTGTTAAAAGACAAACTAAAGGGTCTGGATAAGAATAATTACAATGCTCAGCAGTTCTTATCTGAGAGAAGATCTGTTCAGCTCTGCTGTTTGTGTCCTAGATCACGAGGAGCGATGTTGACCAGAATTTATTTGCAAAGTGGATTGACCTCAAGTTCATGTGTGAGCCTCTCCACCATCCTTTTTCTGTTTAACCTGTAAAAGAGAAGTTGATGTGTCCTGCAGTGACATTCAGTGCATGCAGTTTTTATAGACTCGTTTAATAAATGACTATACAGGAACACATGCTCCATTCCTGTATTAGAGTAAAATAATAATCCACAGAACTGCAAAAAAGCTAAATAAACATTTAAATGAGGAAACACTTTCATAAAAAGTGACCAGATACAGCATTTCATAACTATTTATTCATTGTACATTCACGTTAATTTCATATCTTGATGTTCCACAACTTTTTGATATTATATAGTGTTTTTGATATTATGATGATGTTATTAGTGTTTAGATTTCTTATACACAGGAAAACTGAAAAGCTCAGAGGTTGTTCTTATAGCGATAAACATTAAGGCACTTCAGAAGAAACATGAGACTATTAAAAAGAGAGATACAATTATTTATAGTTATTATTCCATATACTTTTGTTTTAAAGGAATTTGATGAGAAATATTTGAGTCTATATTGAGATCTCTGATGTTTGGTTGAAGCTGTTGGTATCACGGCAAATCTGAACACAGTTTGAGAAAACAGCCAGTAGATCATTTTCCAAATTTCCCAAATGTTGCACATGCACTGCAGTTGTAATGCTCAGAAAATGTTTATTGGTTAGACTTTAAAGCTTCGTACACTGTGTATGTGACATTAGGACTGATCATAATTCGTTATCATGATTCATTAATGACTAGCACATCACCTCTAATGTCATAAAGTGTGGTGTTCCCCTTCAGTTCCTGGTTTGAATGAACTGCCTTAAGCCCCGTTCACACTAGCAGCGACTTTTGCGGTCTGATGAGATGTTGTTAGACTATATGTCAGTAAAACACACTTTCTTGTCCCATCAGCCGTTTCCCACTCTTCAACGGTACGCAAATAGGGTATGCGCACGCTCTATATCACTGACACTTCATCATAAATAACCCGCACAAACTATGAGCACACATACCTAGTTCTGTCGTCAGCAAAGTCATGAAATTACCAAAAAGGCGATTAAAGCTGCAAACTGTGCATGTATACGCAGCACACAAGAACGTCTCTCAAATGCATACTAAAATATATTCTGCAATTCGAGATAACAATATAAGGCACAAGCTGATATGTAATTTAATGCACAAATGTGAGCACAATGCACTTATACTAGAAAATATGCGAAAATGAAACCATTTAAATGCATAAAATAACTCAATTTATATTCTGGCATTTATGTCTATTGTTGACTTCCGGCCTTTTTCACATTTCTATCACTATCTGCATGCCTGATCCATGAGTATGCAATGTTGGAGAGCAAGCATTTGGGAGTTTTATAAAATTACACACTCACAGGCATTTTAAAATATATATTCAAATAGAAAAGTGTGATTTTTATATTGTAATAATACTTAACATTACTGTTTTACTTTGTTTTTGATCAAATAAAAGCGGCCTTGGTGAGCAGAAGTGACGCCTTTAAAAAAAAACTAAAAGTACAGACCGTCTGGATTTGAAAATTATTTCAGTAGCAACATAGAAATTGTGAAACAATTTCTGTAGTAAACCTCATCTGTTCATATAATATGAAAGACCTTTTCCACTTCTTATCCAGATCTTATCCAGACATAACACAGTAAAGCAACAGTACTATCTTCTTCTGTCTAAAATTCCTCTCCATATACTGTAACTGTATATTAAGCATCAAATAAACTTTTATTGACTTTGGTTTTGTGCCACTGAGCAATATTTGCTCTTTGCTGGAAAATGATCACACTGCATCTGGTGTCGGATTCACAAATCTGAAGTAAGAAGTTAAGAAGTTCGTAAGAATAAAAATATTTTTGCAACTTTATAGGAACAGACTCTCAAACACCCCAGCAATTTTTTGTCTTTAGAACAATCTTTGGAAAAAAAATATAAGAACATTTTAAAGATACATTTTTGAGAATGCAAAATATTCTTAACTTTATACTTCAGTTAGAAAATTATTTATGAAAGAATAATTTTATTCTTAATGTTTTGTGATCTGGCCCCTGGTTACGAAATGATGTAATCTGCAATAATAATCATTACCACAACCTTTCGAAAGAACTGTTATCTTCATACACAAGCTAGAATATTGTGGACATCCTGTCCAGATCGCCAGTGAGCATTGCTCAATAAGTGACTGTTGTCTTGTTCATGAGGCCTCTAACAGTTCATGCTTTGTTTTTTTCAGGCTCTATTTCTATGTGTTCTGCACAACAGACATTATGCAACCATTTCTCAGACACTCACACACACTCCTACACCTCAAAAACTCAATGTCCATAAGTATTCTTGCTGTCCCTTTCTTTAATGTACATAATATTAAAAAAAATATTAACAAAAATGCTACAGTAAAAACCTGTTAATTTTTTAAATAAGTAACCAGACATTGTAAAATTATGAAAAATAATATTAGATCTACTATTACAACATTTTACTGTAAAATATTTTGTGAATAATTTTTTGGTTAAAAGTATTGCGTATCTTATAATTTATGGTGATAATCTATATTACATTCAACAACACAATGCATGTATTTTCACAGAAAAACATTGCTTAGATGAAATATCACATTTTATAATATATTATTTCCATATTTATATTTCTTATTTTTTCATCGGTTATGTACATTTTACTGTTTTAAAATACCGTAATGCCTCCCATAATGCCTGAAACATTGTTGCCTTATCTTGAATTTCTGGCAACCACAGCTGCCAGGGTTCCTGTAGAGCAGCTGTACTGCCCAGTAGCAACTGTGATCATTCATTCTTCTAATTCTACTCTCTCTCATTCACGTACTCTATGAACCCGTCCAATGGTCAGTGCAAAACAGCTGTTATGTGTCACTCCAAGTTATGGGTCAGCAGCACCCAGAATAGCATGAAGACAGACTCCTGCAACACTTTTTAAGCTCTTCTATTAAGTTTGCAAGGATATCGATCATATCTGGAGCACTTTACTGAAATCCTGAAGCTTGGTTAGTACTTAATCTGCAGAGTTTGAAACTTGCATGTAGTGAGCTTCTGAACTAACACCACATGTTATGACTTACTTGTGATTACTTTGTTCTTTGCATGAGAATTTTTAATTAGTGAAGTCTATTCAAAATGCGCATGATAATCACATTCGATTAATCGTGCAGCCCTACCAGCAACTGCAAAGAAACACAATAACAACCATTCTAAACACCCCAGCAACCACATAGCAACACTCACAGCCACTTAAAACACCCCAGCAACCGCATAGAAACAAACTAACAACCACTCTAAACACCCCAACAACCGCAGGGCAACACTCACAACCACTCAACACACCCCAACAACTGCATAGCAACACTTTTTACAAGTCAAAACACTCCAGGAACCTCATAGAGCACTAGCAACCACTCAAAACACCACAGCAACCGCATGCCAACAGTCACTCAGAACACCCCAGCAACCACATAAGCAACACACTCACAGCCACTCAAAACACCAAGGCAACCACATAGCAACACACACTCACAACCACTCAGAACACCCCAGCAACCGCACAGCAAACTGTCCTGTGGTGATCAGAGGATGGCTGTACAAGAGGGTAACGATTAGAGCACAATACTGACCATCTGTGTGTCTGTCTATGGCAGCATCACCAGATTATGACAGATAATGACAAGAAATATTTGACAAATATCTAGTTTAAAAATCTTTTTTGCTTCAAATAACAAGATTTTTTAAATGTAATGTTTGTATATTGGTTTAATATACTATGAAAAACATCTAAAGTGCTAAAATTACTAAAAATAAAACTGAAATAATTAAAGGTATATAGAATTATTAAAAAAATTAAATGACAAAAGCACATAACAAAATTACTAAAAAAAAAAAGTAAATTAAAAATGAAGTAAAAAACTAATTCAAAATATTATTAAATACTATAGTAGCATATAAATACTATAATAACATATTTTAGCCAATATCATTCATTTATAAAGCATAAAAATTATCTGATAATTTAAGAGATTTACTGACCTTTACAGTCTTTAAGGTCTGCAGGGGTCTGTGATGTCATTTCCTGTTTTATATTTTTATGTCATTTCCACCTTCCATTTATTTTACTTTAAACCCCACAATAAATAAATAAATAAATAAAGTAAAAAATATATATATATTGTAAACATGGTCTTCCTAAAAACATAACTGCATTTAAAAAAAAATCTCTCAAATGCATACTAAAATATATTCTGCAATTCGAGATAACAATATAAGGCACAAGCTGATATGTAATTTAATGCACAAATGTGAGCACAATGCACTTATACTAGAAAATATGCGAAAATGAAACCATTTAAATGCATAAAATAACTCAATTTATATTCTGGCATTTATGTCTATTGTTGACTTCCGGCCTTTTTCACATTTCTATCACTATCTGCAGACAGCACTGGACTGAAATTGTGGAAAAGAAGATGGTTTGTTCTCTCCAATTACTGCCTCTATTATTATAAAGGTAAAACTATTTCTATGTGATTGTCTTATATATATATATATATTTTACTTAAATTAAATGTTTTAAAGTGCAGTCATTTTCCATTTCAAAAAGAATGAAATGACAATTTTTCCCTGAAATCCCTCTCTAAACCTGTGTCTCCAGACAGCCGTGAGATTTATATTCTGGCATTTATGTCTATTGTTGACTTCCGGCCTTTTTCACATTTCTATCACTATCTGCATGCCTGATCCATGAGTATGCAATGTTGGAGAGCAAGCATTTGGGAGTTTTATAAAATTACACACTGAAGGCCTATTTAAATTAACTACATAAAAGGTCATAAATATGGTGAAATACTTTGAAGAAATGTGTCATTGTACAGTCAAATAAATCTTAATGTTACAAAGATATTTTGGTGTTTTTTTTTTACATTATAATAATAACAATAGCATTTTCCAGTGTTTGGACTCAATATACTCTTCAGACCAAAGAAATCATGTTTTAATAAATTTTTTTGAAAAATACCCAGATAAAAAATGTAAATACTCGGAGGTCATTTTTTCATAGCCTTTAATGAAGAACTGAACTACAATCCCATATAACATTGTGAATAATATAATAATTATATAAATTACACTATTGATTTAAAGTTGATTATAATTTAGGGCTGTCAAATCTTGATTAATCACATCCAAAATAAAAGTTTGTGTTCACATTATATATGTGCATTTACGGTTTGTATATATATATATATATATATATATATATATAACTAAATCATATATAAATATTAATTATTATATATACATGTAAATATTTTTTAATATATACATGTGTATACGTGTGTATACGTGTATTACTATATACTTAGTTATACACAGTAAACACACATATATTATTATTACTTTTATTTTGGAGGCGATTCATTGATTTGACAGCCCTATTATAATTATAGTTACAACATAGTTTGAGTTACAATGATATACAAGTTGACTTGTTTGTGACACTGGCAGTGCTTTATGGGAGTGGGCACTGCGGAGCTCCAATTCTCTGATTGGTAGATATTTCTCTGCAGGATTATGGGTCGTGTAGTTCTTCACCTGGAATTTGGCTGTTAACCTGCACAGACACTGCAGATATAATGCAGAGAAAATAATTTATTTCTTAGGCCTTACGGCTTTGTAAATCATTAAAATAGATGAACAGATTATAGAGGTTGAGACAAATGTGTGACGTTACACCTGATCAGAATCAGTTATCTTTCACCACTAGCACATTTCCATTAATCTCATACTTAATGGTGTTCCAGTCAAACACGTTTCCCTTCGGCACAGACGGTTCCTGGTTTGAATAAACCGCCTTAATCTGATAGCCTGAGAGAACATGATCCCACATTTTCACATCTGTAATTTCACCTACAAAGCTCTGCTTCGCATCAAAGGCATCCAGGAAGTTATCAGGGTCTTGGCCGAGCAGGACGGTGCCACCAGGACTGACTGAGTGACCTTTTTTATATAGCTGGAATGAGCTGCGACGTCCATCCACCCAAAAGGTAGAAAGACCAGTCTCAGAGTCCCAGGTGACGCACAGGTGAGTCCGGAAGGTGGAGAGAGGAGGCAGGTAGAAAAGGGCTCCATTGCCGCTGAGGTAGAAGGACAAACGGCCATCTTTCTCTCTCCACACATTGAGCTCGTCATAGTTCTGTGTGCGGTAGGCGAACAGAATGATCTCCCTCTCACCCTGGAGCTCCGTCGCAACTCGCATGCAGAGAGTAAATGCTGAAAGACTCAGTGGCTTTTCAGGAATGAGTTTAACATAACTGGAGTCAGTCTCGGTTGGAAACAGAAGCACTTTACCACCGAGACCCACTGCAAGACAAAACCAACAGACATTTACAACAGACAAGTGAAATCCTGCTTGCAATAATCTTTATTTGATCTATTACTGTAAAACGTGTTACCTTCAGTAGCCGCTGGTGTCAGAGAGAAGAGAGAGAAAAATAAAACCATTGGTAACATCTTACTGCAGGTCTGAAGGAAAAAGTGCATAAGAAAATTAATTAGTCCTTTTAGCAGACAAATTCTCAACTACTTTGTAAATTGTTTTTAACAAGTTTATTTCTATTAAGTGTTAAATTACTTTTTAGAGACAAAGGCACAAAATCTTCAAGAATACTTACGATGTTTAACCAGTGTTATCAATGAGAAGGTCACTTTAGATCAGCTGTTTGTCTCCTAGATGGTCCTGACCAGGAGTGTCTCGAGTATTTATTAGCAGACTGGTTGAGCCCAGATTCAGTTAAGATCCTCTTTTTATTTTAGAAAACATTTTTTTTTATTAGTTTAACCTGTAGAGGGAAGATGACGTGTCCTGCAGTGACATTGCTTGCAGTTTTTTTTTTAGATTAATTTAATGACAGACTAAGCATGTCTATTTATTCTATAAAATGCATAAAAGTATAATGACTCATTATACTCACCAGATCAATACTGTCATGTTTTATGAAAAATACCCAGATGAACATTTAAATGCTTAGCAGTCACTCTTTCATAGTCTCATTTAGAGACATTTTGATATCTTCTGAAACTAGAGGTGACAAATGTTTCTTAGGCTTTAGATTTGCTCTCCATTGCTGTTCAGGAGAATTAGTTGAGTCATTAGAGATTTGGTTTGTGATTTTTCTGTCCTACCATCAGACATGAAGCTAAATGCCACTTTACAGACATCAGAAGCAAAAAAGAGAGTGTGAGCTGAGAGTGAACCGGGGAAACAGAGGATTCAGTGTTAAGGGGATGAAAGAGGGATTGAGTCTCCGCTGTGACTGTGTGACTGTGTGACTGTGTTGAGCGTTTGTCTCTCAGAGAGAGAGATGCTGAACGCACCATGACGCTGGAAGTTGCTGTTGGGTACCGAAAACAGACCAGGTACAAGAAATCAGTTTATTCTTTGTGTAGTTTGTAGTTGTTTTGTTAGGGTTGTAGTCTGGGGTCTGCTAATGTTCTGCTTTAACCACTGTACTTTTTTGAACACTGTTTAAAAATGAGAATGCGGTCTTATTTAACACAGCACTGCAGTCTTTATGGCTCTAAATCAGATTGTTGTGGTGTATGTGATCGGCTGTTTGTAGTCTCAAACGTTTGGGGTCAGTAGGGTTTTTTTTTTTTTTAAATATATTAACACTTTTTATTCAATAATGATCAAATGTGACAGTAAAGACAATTACATTTCAAATGACAATTATGTTACAAAAGATTTCTATTTCGAATAAGCGCTGTTCTTATGAACTTTCTATTCAAAGAATCCTAAAAATGTCTGATTTCCACAAAACTATTTAGCACGACAATGTTTTCAACATTTATAATAATCAGAAATGTTTCTTGAGCATATCAGAATGAAGACACTGAAGACTGAAGTAATGATGCTGAAAATTCAGCTTTGCATCACAGGAATCACAGGCATTTTAAAATATATATTCAAATAGAAAAGTGTGATTTTTATATTGTAATAATACTTAACATTACTGTTTTACTTTGTTTTTGATCAAATAAAAGCGGCCTTGGTGAGCAGAAGTGACGCCTTTAAAAAAAAACTAAAAGTACAGACCGTCTGGATTTGAAAATTATTTCAGTAGCAACATAGAAATTGTGAAACAATTTCTGTAGTAAACCTCATCTGTTCATATAATATGAAAGACCTTTTCCACTTCTTATCCAGATCTTATCCAGACATAACACAGTAAAGCAACAGTACTATCTTCTTCTGTCTAAAATTCCTCTCCATATACTGTAACTGTATATTAAGCATCAAATAAACTTTTATTGACTTTGGTTTTGTGCCACTGAGCAATATTTGCTCTTTGCTGGAAAATGATCACACTGCATCTGGTGTCGGATTCACAAATCTGAAGTAAGAAGTTAAGAAGTTCGTAAGAATAAAAATATTTTTGCAACTTTATAGGAACAGACTCTCAAACACCCCAGCAATTTTTTGTCTTTAGAACAATCTTTGGAAAAAAAATATAAGAACATTTTAAAGATACATTTTTGAGAATGCAAAATATTCTTAACTTTATACTTCAGTTAGAAAATTATTTATGAAAGAATAATTTTATTCTTAATGTTTTGTGATCTGGCCCCTGGTTACGAAATGATGTAATCTGCAATAATAATCATTACCACAACCTTTCGAAAGAACTGTTATCTTCATACACAAGCTAGAATATTGTGGACATCCTGTCCAGATCGCCAGTGAGCATTGCTCAATAAGTGACTGTTGTCTTGTTCATGAGGCCTCTAACAGTTCATGCTTTGTTTTTTTCAGGCTCTATTTCTATGTGTTCTGCACAACAGACATTATGCAACCATTTCTCAGACACTCACACACACTCCTACACCTCAAAAACTCAATGTCCATAAGTATTCTTGCTGTCCCTTTCTTTAATGTACATAATATTAAAAAAAATATTAACAAAAATGCTACAGTAAAAACCTGTTAATTTTTTAAATAAGTAACCAGACATTGTAAAATTATGAAAAATAATATTAGATCTACTATTACAACATTTTACTGTAAAATATTTTGTGAATAATTTTTTGGTTAAAAGTATTGCGTATCTTATAATTTATGGTGATAATCTATATTACATTCAACAACACAATGCATGTATTTTCACAGAAAAACATTGCTTAGATGAAATATCACATTTTATAATATATTATTTCCATATTTATATTTCTTATTTTTTCATCGGTTATGTACATTTTACTGTTTTAAAATACCGTAATGCCTCCCATAATGCCTGAAACATTGTTGCCTTATCTTGAATTTCTGGCAACCACAGCTGCCAGGGTTCCTGTAGAGCAGCTGTACTGCCCAGTAGCAACTGTGATCATTCATTCTTCTAATTCTACTCTCTCTCATTCACGTACTCTATGAACCCGTCCAATGGTCAGTGCAAAACAGCTGTTATGTGTCACTCCAAGTTATGGGTCAGCAGCACCCAGAATAGCATGAAGACAGACTCCTGCAACACTTTTTAAGCTCTTCTATTAAGTTTGCAAGGATATCGATCATATCTGGAGCACTTTACTGAAATCCTGAAGCTTGGTTAGTACTTAATCTGCAGAGTTTGAAACTTGCATGTAGTGAGCTTCTGAACTAACACCACATGTTATGACTTACTTGTGATTACTTTGTTCTTTGCATGAGAATTTTTAATTAGTGAAGTCTATTACTCATACTTAGAGTTTGTGATTTGAACAAGATCTTAACCATTAGCATTAAACTTCAGGGTGTGAGTTGTCCTGCAGCGTTTGTACTTCAGACATGAATGAGTACTCAAATCATGTGTCTTGTTGAGGAAAGCTGTGTTTGGCTTACAATTTCCACCTGGTGAACGATTAGAGACTTGGGCGTGGACTCTTTTGGCTTGCGCATAGGAACACACTCACAACCACTCAAAACACCCCAGCAACTAGGACTGCACGATAAATCGAAATGGAATCAAGATCGCGATTCGACAGAAGCTGCGATTGTCATGCGTGCATCTTTCAGTGAAGCACGGTTCTGTGATCAGCAGTAAATCTCCATCCGAAGATTCAACTGCTTTCATTGATTCAACGTGACTAATAAACACACGACTACGGCAATATAGGGTTTATCTGAGTTCTTATTATTATAATTTTCATTAAAATAAAGTATATTTATAATGCAGTGCCTTTATCACTGCTTAAATACTATGAAATATGTTGCGTGCCTTATTCTGTGTACGAAGCCACATCATCTCACAGGATTTATTTCAAACACTCGACTGACATTATGAAGTGAGTTTGGAGTAAAAATATGTTATTAAATGTGGTATTTTCACATGCTTTCAGATGGAACAGCATTTACTTCACAGAGCCGTAGTTCACTGAGAAGCTATGCAAACAGCTGTCATTTTTTTTGCGTAACTTGTCAGCGAACTACGGCTATGTGTAGTAAATTGTGCTCCATCTGAAAGCATGTGATGATGATTTCCTGCTGTGAAAGCGGCTTTTTTAACAAAATGCGCATGATAATCACATTCGATTAATCGTAAAGCCCTACCAGCAACCACATAGCAACAATCACAGCCACTTAAAACACCCCAGCAACCGCATAGAAACAAACTAACAACCACTCTAAACACCCCAGCAACCGCAGGGCAACACTCACAACCACTCAACACACCCCAACAACTGCATAGCAACACTTTTACAAGTCAAAACACTCCAGGAACCTCATAGAGCACTAGCAACCACTCAAAACACCACAGCAACCGCATGCCAACACTCACAGTCACTCAGAACACCCCAGCAACCACATAAGCAACACACACACACTCACAACCACTCAGAACACCCCAGCAACCGCACAGCAACACACTCGCAATCATTCAGAACACCCCAGCAACCGCACAGCAACACACTCGCAACCATTCAGAACACCCCAGCAACCGCATAGCAACACACTCACAACCACTCAGAACACCCCAGCAACCGCACAGCAACCCCCTCCCAACCAATCAGAACACCCCAGCAACCGCACAGCAACACACTCACAACCACTCAGAACACCCCAGCAACCACACAGCAACACAATCACAACCACTCAGAACACCACAGCAAACGCACAGCAACACACTCACAACCACTCAGAACACCCCAGCAACCGCACAGCAACACACTCACAACCACTCAGAACACCCCAGCAACCGCACAGCAACACACTCACAACCACTAAGAAGACCACAGCAACCGCACAGCAACACACTCACAACCACTCAGAACACCCCAGCAACCGCACAGCAACACACTCACAACCACTCAGAACACCCCAGCAACCGCATAGCAACACTCTAAAGACTTCAGCTTTGACTTTTGCACAAGAAAGCACCACTCACATTTTCTATAAATTTAAAAATCTAGTTTGCATCAGTTCAATAGCTCTGTTATTCAGATAAATGACCAAAGAATGTCAGTGGGAATAAAGGAATGACGTGAATAAAAAATGGAATGGACTTTCTCAACAATCGGCGTACAGTGCTGGCAGCAGTGGTTTTCAGAGGAGAGAGAGGCTGTCAGGATGTATGAGGTCTATGTACACACTACAGCAGCTAGAGAACACATGCTACAGAGTGTGAGACTGTGAGATGAGCAACTTATTGAGCAACTGTGGTCAAACATGACTTAGCATCTAACTGAATGTTATGAAAAATATGATTAAGAAAAGCAGAAGTGTGTCTGTAAACGATGATTCGCCTTGATGAGCCACAGTTGCTCAATAAATAACTTAAAGCCAATATTTTCACAATTTCACCCCTAAAATGTAATCTATTTTTAATTATTTTATTTGTATTTAAATGAATTTTTCTGTATCCTTTTTGAGAAAAATATTACATATAAATGCAAATGTATCTATTATAATTTATAAAAATATAAAATATAAATAAATCTTGAATTAAATAATAGGCTAACATTATACTAAAGCCAAAATAAACAATATAAATATTTTCTGTAAAATAGTCACCTACTGTGAGAAACATTGCCATTTATATCCTATTTATTTGTACAGGGCTTTCCAAAAGATCTGAAGATCAGGAGAAAGTAGAAAACTCACAAAACAATGCATAAACAAACAACACTTGAATGGATATTTCAAGAAACTATATACAAATTTGTTTTATTTCTTACAGTTAAAAACGATTCTAATGGACAGGTCTGCATTACCAACGCGGTTAGTAAATATGGAAAATACAGCATGTATAAGCAGCTCTAAACGAAGAACTGGAGTGCTTCCCAGAAGCCCTACAATGTGGGCAAGCCTTCCTAAACCTGATATTGAGCCAGTGTTGGATTGACAGCACTAATATCTCAATGAATCAAAACTCAATGTGTCCTTTGACTATAAAATAGCAAAGTCTGCTAACCTGAACATCTCGATGATTATTGATGCCTTGATCCATTGCTGTTGTCTAGGATGGAGGATCAGGACAGAGTCAGTCAGGCCTCCAGCAGCGCCACAGTGTCCTTTCTGCCGATCAGAGACCAGGTGAATCACATACACATATGGACCAACACACACGACTACATATTTCAAACCCACTGACTGTGTGATTATATACGTCCAGTGTCATGAAAAAGTGCAGACGTTTGGAAAGAGATGTCAAGCGGTGAAGAGAGACCCTAACTGTCCCGTGGTGATCAGAGGATGGCTGTACAAGAGGGTAACGATTAGAGCACAATACTGACCATCTGTGTGTCTGTCTATGGCAGCATCACCAGATTATGACAGATAATGACAAGAAATATTTGACAAATATCTAGTTTAAAAATCTTTTTTGCTTCAAATAACAAGATTTTTTAAATGTAATGTTTGTATATTGGTTTAATATACTATGAAAAACATCTAAAGTGCTAAAATTACTAAAAATAAAACTGAAATAATTAAAGGTATATAGAATTATTAAAAAAATTAAATGACAAAAGCACATAACAAAATTACTAAAAAAAAAAA